TTTTCCCTAGTCTTCCTTTTGCTATTGATGTATTTGAAGAAGGCCTTCTTGTTGTCCTTGACATCCCTTGCCAGATTTAATTCCAAATGGGTCTTAGCCTTCCTTGTCGCATCCCTGCACGCTCTGACAAGGTCCCTGTATTCCTCCCAAGTGGCCTGTCCCCTTTTCCACATTCTGTACACTTCCTTCTTCTGTTGGAGTTTTGTCAGGAGTTCCTTGCTCGTCCATGCAGGTCTCCTGCCCGCTTTGCTGGACTTCTTCCTCAGAGGAAAAATCATCTTATAGATTTAATTTATCCCTGATTTTTGACTGATCTACCTACATCATGTTCACTAATACACCTCTAAGTTATCAAACATTTAAAAAGCTTAGAAAGATATCTGCTAGAGAAATGTTCCTACTTCCCCCTGCTTTGCTGACAGTTTCCAGTACAATCCCCACGTAAGTAAGTTAAACGTTTAAAATTAGCACAAAGATAATTAAATGGATTATGGTTTGACTAATATAAATCAAAGCAGCCTAGAAAGATGCACAGCATTGAATGCATTATTCAAGATAAGGGATACTATCAAATAATTTAACAGTATTAAAAATGGTGTCAATAATAACACTTCCAGGTGCATTTTTTAATACTGAAGAGTTCATTTAGAAACCATCTGAGTAATGAGGTTGTGCTTCTCTTCCACATACAGTATTTCAGCAGATCACCCACTCATTTGACCTAGTTAATAACAGATGTATAACATCTATTGTTATTCCTTACCTTCTGTAGTTACACTAGCTAATTTTCTTGTCATCCGCACATTTTACAACTTCTGGCTTTTGAGCAAGTTTTTCCTTTTCCTGTTGCTATGGCTAATTTTGAAAACAGTGTTCTCATTCTATTAATAAATTCTACAATGTTCTTGTAAGCTATCATTTAGGAAAGGTATCATGAACCTTGTATTTTATCTTTAAGGATTCCTCTAGTTTCTCGTAAACCACCTTCGCCGGATATAAGTACTACCAAGCCAAAAAGCAAGGGAACCCCACTGAAGTGTGTTAAGGATGAGAATTCTTCTGAAAATGTATTGGTCACTTTTGGGAAAGATGAAAAACTAATTATTGATACATGGCAAACAGCAGTAACAGCCATAGCAAATATGGTAGGAAATGTTTTATTTACTCAAAGATTTGTAGATCAGACAGTCAAGGCCTCCCATTCTGTACAAAGCCTAAGCACACAGCCTTTTCACTGTGTATCTCAATTTCATACCTGTTACTCCACCACTGGTATTCTCATTGACTATGTTTCCATTTTTATGAAGAAAATGATAGAATTTCTGTAGTAACAGATGCCTAGAACTTCTCTGTTTATTATTGAACCCGTCATTCCATTACTGAGAGAAATATTTTGGACCTTCACCCTATATATATACTTCATCCATGATAAACTGTCTCCTTCTCCCCCAAAAGAAGCATGAGAAGAAGAACAAATTTTGTCCTCTGAAACAAATTTTGCTCAAATCTTTTAAAACTTCAAAAGCTATGGCTACATTCCTTTATATATCTAGCTAGAAGTAAATTAGGTGGGCTTTTCAAATGACTAGTTTCTAGGTAAGCCTTTTCTTTTCTTTTGATTATTTTAAAACAAATGAATGTCTGCACCCTTACAATGTAGTTGTAGTTTTGCTTTGCACACTATAGATTTATACTTTTCTCATTTTCCTAGAGTACATAGATAATGTGTATGAGAATTAAAACAACCATCTTTCTCTGTCTTGCCTTTTTGCTGTAGAATGTTATTTTTGCTAAACAATCAGAATGTAGTCAATTTTAGTTAAAATATCTGCTTTGTTTTATGTATGTATGTATGTATGTATCAGCAAGTATTTGCAGGAAGTACAGGCTATTTAAAACAGTAGTTGTATAGTATTGATAGCATGTGCTTGACTAAGTATGCATATATAATGTCAAGGTAAAAGCTGAAATACAATCTAAAGAAGCAGAGGAAGAAAAAGAACAGCAGCTAGAACTAAAAGAGAGAGAACGTCTAATATCTTCTCAGACAATGCCAGGCAAAACTTCTGGAAAAGATTCCAAAGATACCAAAAAGTTTTCTCCCAAATCAGCTGTTAAAAAGAAAGGTATTTGAAATACAATGTTTTTTAGAGATTTAGACATTTTTTAGAGAAAGTAATGCAAAACATTTAATTCTGTTTTTGAAATGTTAAATGGGATACTTAAGTGTGAAAAGCTGGTAGTGATAAAGGAAGGCAGAGGCCATTGAATATATTGGGAAATCTTGATTGAATAGGCATGCCTCTGTTGGGTATATTAAATCATATATGTATATGTATTCCTAAATAATAATTTAGGAATAAATATTCTAAGTAGAACTGAGAAAGTAAATATTAATTTTTCTCCATGTGCTGTTTTGGAATGGAAGATTTAGAACTAGTTTATCAAATTAAATCAGCTTCCACTAAATTCTACCTACTTTCTGTCCATAATTTCCAGCCATAAGTCAAAATATTTCAAGCATTGCAATAAAATTGTGGATATGGATAAAATAGTCAATATTCTAGTTTATTTCTAAATGAATTCATCAGTCATTACAGGAGCATGGCTCTATCAGGATCCATTTTTTTTAGATGTAGCATAACTTTATAAAATGATGTAAGTAAACAACATAAAATCTAACAGCATATATAGACCTAACCAAGAACAGATTCCCATTGAGGTAGATCTTTTCACAAAGGCCTGGCAGGAATCTGTCCTATCCTACTACTTTTTCACTGTGTAGGTAGGAATACAAAATTTATTGGCCAAAATAAAAAAAGACCCAAAAGGAACCTGTCTCTACCTAGTCATGCAGGCCCCTTGCTTGGAGGAGTCCTAGCTTGCGATACTGTTTATACATTTTTTTCATAAATATTTCCTTGAGCAGGTAGTGGTTTAAGTAACTTCCATTTCTTTCTGCAAAATGGCATAGCTTCAACAGGAAGTGAGTATAGTAGCCACACCTTATATCTTTTGTAAAAGCGTTGTCCTGCAAAGTGAGAGGTGGATTTGAGCCCTGAATATTTGGTGGTGGCCTAAAATCTAGGTATCCCACTTCCTGTGAGAAAGCTGTAACTGCAGAGTTATGCATAAAGCAGATGACTTTTTTCCTTGGCAGCCATTTTATTTGCACTGTACTCAGTGCTATCCCTCTGGTCTGGTTGTGCTCATAGCACACTGAACAATCATAACACTGAAACGACTTAGCTGCACGGCCACCTAATCTGTGAACCCGAGGGAGCCTTAGGTGTGTGCTCAGCTGCTCATTCCAACCAAGGGAGTAGCAGATTGTCAGATTCCTAAAATGATGAAAAATCAGCAGCTATAAACTATTATGTGGATTGCTTCTTGGGACTAAATCTCGTTTTAGATTTGGTGCTAGATGACTTAACCTGAAATGACAAAGCTATAAAGTGACAGAACTGCAACATAACCTCAGCTGTGCATTCCTCATGATACAAGATGAAGTATTAACTGATGCTTGTTGGATTTCATGCCAAATACAGTGTTACTGTAGTACTGCTGCAACAGAATTCCCTTAGTTACAGCTATAGGCTAGTAACTGAGAGATACAATTTATTACATGTAATTTTAGCACTTCTGGCATTGACCGTTTGCTTTATGTTGACCCGATGTATCATCCAGTTGCCATTATTATTTTTCCGTAACATCTACATCTATCTACTCTTCTTCTAGAATAAGGCAGTTACAAAGATCAGTATTTTTGAATAAGTGTTGTGAATGCAGAAACATTTTCATGCAGCATTCAAAAACAAAATGGTAAAATACCTTTACAATATCTGTTTATAGCTATATAAGTTAAAACAAGTTCAACTCCACAAAGGCAGCTAATAGAGTGGTTTAAAAAGGCATGAAATAACATACATCTGTTTTTCCTCCTTGACATTTTACACTTTTCTTTTCATTTGCAGAATTGTCCTTTTCACTGCTTTGATGGTAGCCAACCGTATTTAATAACATAGCATTCTTACTACAATTTGCTGCACTTGAGTTTCCTCCAAAAGGAATGTTTACCATCCAAAGAGGTTTACTTGTGTGCAGGTTGTCATAAATTGATAGATTTTAAGATCAATGAGGTCAGAATCACAACAGAGGCATGCCTATTCAGTCATGATTTTCCATTGAGAAATACATTTTAGGTTGTTATTTAACTGATTTTGCTACATTTGTATATGCTGGGTAGTTTTGTGTTATGTTAATCTTAGCATGTCATGCAGATGTAAATCAAATGCCTTAAAGAAATCTAAGTATGTTATGTTGACACAGTACACCTGAGTAACCGCATTTGTATTCTCGTAAGCAGTGATACCAAGTAAAGTAGAAAATGCCATTTTTCATTTCAGGAAAATGCACTATATTGTGAGAGTATACGTACAGATACAAACACTTATCTCTAAAGTCCGAAGACTTTTTCAGGGATCTATTTTTTTCCAGGAGCACCTTCTCCTGCACCAGTGGTTGAAATGAGTGCAATTCCTCTAACCGCAGAAGAAGTAAAGAAACAAGAACTGAGACTTAAAATAAAGCAGGAATATTTTGGTGCCCTTGAACATGAAGGTATGTTACCGTTTGGTTATTTAAATTTGGGGGTGATCATTATTCCCAGTCTAGACATTGCAATAGTCAAAACTCTCCACAAACTCTTTTTGGGAAAATGGATGGATAACTAAGAAAAAGGAGAGGAGAGACAGGAGGACTGTCTGTAGAAATTTTTTGAGAAGTAGGCATCAGTGATTTTATGGTAAATATATTCTAAATTGAAGATATGTTTTTCATTCTTTTTGTTTCATTTCTTGTCCTTTTCCATGAGTAAACAATTATTCATCGTGAGGGAGTAAGTTTGACATGAATACTTAGCCACTGTTTGCTATTTGATGAATTGTTTTGATCTGGGGAAGAATTTGGTGATAATTAGATATTTCAGTGATGCTCTTCGCTCTGGTTCCCTCTTCCTTAAGCTGCACAAGATTCAAGTAACAAGGCACAGGTTTTATGTTTATTCTTCTGTTAATCTTTCTGTCTCTTTGTCTTTCCCAGTAACTTCAAACCCACTGGTCAATTTCAGCAAAAAGTAGATGTCTGAAAAGCAGAATAATAGCAGTCTCCAAATTCTTTGAAAGCAGGTTTTGAGTAGAAGAAAAAGACCTCATTCTCACCGAAGGGAAGCTAGAACTTATCTCTATTTAACAGCAGTCAGCTAAGCATCAGCATGTAAATAGTTCCTTGGTAGGGCTATTTTTTGGCTAGTAGTTATTGTGAAAAGTAGAGGACAAATAGCAGTTAATGAAGAAAACACAAATTCATAGGGCTTCTTTAGGCCCAGTTCATACCAAATGCTTGTACACTTACCACTTTCAACAAGGTTTAATCCCAAAGCAGTTTAAGAATAAATATTTTAAAAATTTGGGATAATGAAGAAAGGAATGGTAGTTACTTGAAGGATTTTAATAGCACGAAGACAAATTTCAGTGATTCCGTGACATAATTTGTTTTCTGAAGGTTTTTTCATCTTGATTTGTATTTAACAAAAAAGCCAAGATAAGCATATAAGGAAGACTAAACATGCTGAGCTATGTTTCATAATGGCACAGGCACAGAACTTGTTCATTTAAGGATCAGCATTTCACGTGCAGCTATGGTAACTGGATATATGTATAGTTATACAGATACATACTTAAAAGCTTGCAGATTGCCATTAGGTGTGGACAATCGCTAGGTTTTTAATGTTGATTTCATATTCCATTCCTCAGTTGCATCGTAGTGCCTTGCTTTTTATTCTCCTCCTATTAAGAGAGCAGCTTTATCACTAGAATGTAAAGTACTTGCTTCTGAAAATGCAAGGAGATGAAAATCGTCATACATTTATCCTGGTGGCATCCTGAGAGCAACTACTTAGAGAAAATACAGAGAAGCCACAAATAAGGCAGCATTTACTTAAGCAGTCCTAAAGAAGGTGACTAGATAGGCAGAAAGCATCCTCTGAAATACTTCCAGTTCCTTATAACCTTTACTGTATGATAAACTTTAGATCAGTTAGAAGTGTTTTCTTTAAAATTTATCCATAGCAGGATGCTCACGCTTACATCATTAAGTTTCTGTGTCTGTTTGCTGTATGGTGTTAGTTCAATTCTGTGTCACTGTGTACTTAAACATCTCCTGCAACTCTGTGTGAGTTTTATTAAGATATTTGTTACGTCATGAATTCTGATGCTAATAGAAGACCCACTTTGGTAAAATACATGGTGCAATAGGAGTGATTCTGAAAAATAAGTAGTTCAAGAGTATGCTGTCTAAATACAAGTTAATGTGTTAAACTTTAGTGAAGGCTGAGAATTTTCCTCAAATTTTATAAACATTAACTTTTATGAAATTATTGTTTAAATAGAGGGAGCCACAAAATCTCGACTAGAGCTTATAAAAAAGAAAGCTTTAGCATTTGTTGAAGAGCTAACAAGGAAAGTAGAAGAAACGTACAGAGATATGGAAAAGTGGCTTGGAGCCAGATTCCTGGCAGAAATGTCTAGGTAATGTATATCCAATTTTAAACAGGAACTTTTATCTTTTAAAATGGAAGACTATGCTGGTAAAAATAGTTATATAGAAGCAAAGAATTTGGAAAAAGTATATAGAAAATAGTAATTTTATTTTATGAGCTGGAATTTAATTTTACCTTAAGATATCTGATATTACTCATTTCTTGTATGATTAGAAGGTTCTGCTGGCAGTAGTAGAGGTAATAATCATTCCTACTGTTTTTCTAGACTAGAGATTTCTCTGATTCATGAGCACTGGTAGGCAACAAGATATTCTGTTTCCTAGAAATCTCTATATCAGTTCAGTAGCTTTTGTCATTTTGGAATTATGGCGTTCTTTTCTTTCCTATGCTTCACACAGGCTGGAACTCTTCACCTACTGTTCTTACCACTGTGTATAACATTTATTGAAAATATTTCAAAAATCATTAAATAATAAATGCTTTTTCATTTCCATTTTTCTATCCTAGTAAATAAAATGTGCTTGGGACTGCTATTTGACACTTACACCACCTGGCAAAGAGGTCACATGCAAATTGCCTTTTGGAAATGATCTCTGGCCTGTGCTAACTTTTGAACAATAGTTAGGAATTGTTTGGGACCGTGCTAGTTGGTCTAGGCCAAAAATGTGCTGAGGGATGTTTTACTAATTTAACAGTAATAGATGGTTGACTTCTTTCCCTCTATAAGTCATATTTATTCCACTTGTGACAGGAGTTCATGTGCCTCTTCAAAACGCTACTGCAGAAATTGCTCTGTAGATCTAGGTTTTCAGGGCAGAGCAAAGGACAGGGCATTGAGATTACAGACTGAACATGTATGCTCCACCCCATAAAATTGATGGAATTAAGGAAGTTTCATCCTTCCATGTTCTTCTGTCAGTTCCCTTCTATGGCTCAGATCTGTCTTTATTTGGCATCCTTACAATAGTCACAAAAATTCTTGCTGCCAAAGGAGAATGCACTTGCAAATGATTTATCTGAGTACCGAACTCACATAGAGGATTTGTAATTCTTACCCTAGGGAAGCTACCAGAGTGTAAACACATTAAAATTTCACCATTAGTTATTATCACTGTCTATGAAAAAGTATTCATTGTTTTCTGTATTTACATTTTCAGTATTGAAAAGCTGATTGAGGTTGCACGGCACCATATTGAAAGTTCTAGCAAAATCCAGTATGAAATGATCTTAGAAGAGACAGATTTCTTCATCAGCAATGATATCAAAGTAATTCCCGATCCTATTCCTCCACCACATCTTCCACCTGTGGAGACATCTGGAAATGGTGCTCTAACTATTTCACAACTTACTACACTTCATAAACAGTTTCTTCAGGTGGCACCTAAAGGTAAGAAGAAATCTTTTTGGCACCTTCAAGACTGTTTGTTAGATACCTAATTACAGTTTAGGATAACTGCCAGCAGCTACTAAACATTAGTTGCCTATACTGATGAAGATCATGCTACAGTTAAAGATTTTGCTACATATAAAAGCAAAGTCATAATGCAAAATATTGTATGTGTAATAAGAAATACCAGAACAGCAGAAAGCTTTAAGTGTCTTTGCTATGTGCTTTTGTATCCTCAAGACCGTATACTTAACAGGTATCTCTGTATGTTACGTGTTTTTAAGAGCAGTACAGTACATATTATTTTATTTTAAAAGTTTTCAGGATACTTAAGGCAAAGATCAATTCAAATGCAAGTCTTTAACTCATTTACTAATTCAGAGTTCAGTGACGACTGAAGCTGAATTATTTTTAAAATTTTTTTTATGAAACTACTATTTTTATGAACCTATTATACTGGGCCAAAGCAAATTTTTGGTTGTAACCTTAAGTCTTTGGCAGCAGTTGAATTCTTCAAGTCAGCTCGTACCAGTTATTTTGGGTAACTTGCAGGTATTCACTCAGATATGTATTTTTACTTTTGTGCATGTGTTTATCGTTCCCCTACCCTCTAATTATGGGAACGTTAGGGTTAGGACCTTTGAAAATAACTTCTAGCAAAACTTAATATTGCTATATAAATATTATAAAATAATTTAGGTAAAGCAGTTTTGAAGTGAGATGGAAAGCAGTTAAACACATATTTGCTGAGGGTATCTTTACAACTAGTCTTCCAAATTATAATTATAATACATGAATGCCATTGAGATCACAAGATACAATATGTAAACATGTATTTACAATTGGATCCAAACCTTCCAATATAGTTAGGCCACAGAAGCACACTGAAGTTGAATTTGATCCTTTATTCAGAAATACTTTCCATATGTATTTATAGAGAATTTGCATTTACCTTTTGAACATGAATTCATTTTACTCAGAAACATGTTTACAAATTTTCTTTGGTAAAGAGATGCATATCGTTTTATCTATAGCATGGGTGAACAGGTGTATGTATGTAAGCATTCCAACCTGCTCTACAGAAATGAAATAACAGATAGTATTGCATATATAATGCCACATGAAGCTAAAAATCTTTACTTTTGTAATCGCTAGATAGTGCCATAGAAGTAAAACATGCTACACAGATAGGTAAAACTAAAAAAAAATGTCTAATACAAACTCTAATATTCTTGACTTTTTAAGACCAAGAGAACATATTTTTTCGTTACATATTTGTGATAACTAGCAAAAAGACAAAAAAAAAAGTCTTTTTGATAATATAACATCCACTAAAATGACCCAAAACCCAAACTTTTTATTTGTGAGCGTAGCTTGGAATTTAAGCAGACTTAGGAATCTTAAGATTAAATGCATAATAAGTTCCAAAATCTGGAGGCTTATATTGTAATTTTATTGCTGGCAGGCCATATCTTTCATACCAAAGAGACTTCTATTAAAAATCCTTCACTGACTTAATGACAGTATGATCTAGGGATGATCTCACAAATAGACAGGACCTAGGTTATCTATTACTATTTTTATTTATATTAAGGTAATATTAAGGTAATGACACATGCCAGGAGACTACAGGGTTGAAATGACTCCTTAGACTCCACACAGAAAACCACAGGGCAGTGGTTCCTGCACAGAAAACATCACAAATGATAACATAGTTATTGCAGTGATATATCTTGCGCAACAAGACAGCTGCTTTCTCCTGAACCTTTATTTCAATATTTTCAACTTCCTGGTCAGGCACATATAGAAGAAATTCATCCTGATTCATTCTGAAACATTTTTTTTTCTAAGTATATAATACATCTAAATGCTCGAATTGAAAATAGATAGGTAAAGTAGGAGACAAATACCCTCTAGCATAAGATCTTCCACTGGATCTTCCACTGGACTTCCCTAACTCCAACTGAGATGTGCAGCGCTCTCAGCATGACAGAGTTGCTTACTAATTTCTCCCTCTCTTGTTGCTTCTTGCTCTCTAGGGCAAAGTGTTATTTAAAATTAGGTCCTCAAGAACATGCAGCGGCATTTTTCTACTGTCTGGTTACTAGTAAATCAAGATATTTACCTTTTTGGACAATCAAATTAGGAAGTGAAGCACAAGCCGTGGAAGTCATCTGTAACATACTTTCTCCCATTCTCTTGCAACTTGTAAAATCACATAAATTACAACCTAGACTTCCTAAGACAAACACTTCTTTTCATTACAGTGTCTCCACACTTAATACACTGGACTGAGGCTCCTAGCTTTTCTGCCAAATACATCCTAATCTTCAAATTCTTACTTGCATGAGCAGTCTTCTGAATATTCATAATAGAAATCTATCAGAAACCTTACCAGTAAAGGTGAAAGATATGGCAAAAATAGGTATCTGCAGACATTACCACTACAAATTTTACTCTTAAACATACCTTCAAATCTGGTATTGAGACAGTGGAAGCCCAAGAGGCACAAACTTTAGGGAAATAAATAAAATGAATCTACCAATTCTGTACTATCTAAATAGCAAAATTCCTAAAGTTATTCTGAAAATTGAATATTAGGCTGATTTGCTAAAGCATTATGGAGATTACATAAAGGAGAAATTTAAAATAATTCAATTTATCTAGAAAACCAAGCAAAAGAGTAACAAAGGAGAGACCACTGGTTTGGAAGAAATAAAATATTTTTTTCAAAGGATGTTTGCCAGATGTCAAAAAGATGTCTTTTCAAGGTATGTTCAACAAATTGCCAAAATGAAAGAAAAAATAGGAATGCCAATTAGTTGGGGACTTACGAAAAATCTTCTAAAAATTCTAAACAGTTTTGTGTTTCCTAGGAATTTAAAGTATTAAAGAACTGCTGATGCATCATAGACAACTTTGTTCTATCCTGCACACTTGGTTCTCCATGGAGACACATTACTCACCATCCTAAGCACCGATGGACAAAAGATATGAACTGTGCTGGATCCTCCTGCCTGTTGACAGTCTTTCATTTGATAAGGAAATCTTTAAATGTTTTTTGATTATTCTGAGTGCCTTTGCCCTAATTGAAGGTGGCTTTGCAGTATTTCTTCATTTCACCAACTCTTTCAATCAATTCCTTAACTTTATTATATAGCCATGAGGCACATGCTCCTTTTTTATAGGAAGAACTGTGTTACGCATGAAATTTATCTACTAACATTCAGTTTTTTTTCTTATCTTTTCTGCATTCTCTTTGGATGTGTTCTGTTCTTATCAACAAAATTAAACTAACCATCTGTTAGATCTTTCCCCCCTCTAATTCCTTTCAGCGCTCCGTTCTTCCTATGACCACATCTATTGTCAACTGAATTAGCATACATCTGGAATTTATCAATTTTATTCTAAAGGTGGGTCAATAATTCCAATTTTGGTAATTCTTTGCACTACCAAACAGACTAAAATAGATTCTATCCCAGATTTCATTCTCCATTGGATGACTAAATTACACAAGGATATTTTAATTGTGTTCTTTTTGTCACAATCGTGACCTTCATGAACCATTCCGGCTTGAAATATAGGAGTGATTATTCATCTGAAATAATCTGCAATCAAGTTGTAAACACTTCTAAATCCAATAGTGAAAAAGTACTTAAAATGCCTGTTTTAAAAAACTAAATTAGTCTGTTAACATACGAGCTGTCCTCAGTAATTCTACCAGACCTTACGATTCCAGATTTGTCGACTATACGGAACAGCCAGTGACTAAATCTTATTACTATTTGTTTTCACATTGTCGACTTGTCAGTTGAGTTTTACTGTATTGTTGGATTTGAAATAGATAAGCTTATCAAAGCGTGCATCTTGTACCATTAAAATTTTGCCTCTTTGGTAGAAATTTTTGCCGAGTGAGAAAGAATTGCACACTGACCATGAAAATGTCTGTGCGTTCTGCTATCCCTTCCCAAGCACTTTTGTAAAGACGGTTCAAGAGCACTGTAAGCTCATGAACTGAATTTGATGTGAATAAAGAGGGAAGCTCACATGTGAGCATAGAAATAAGTTCTGCATCTCTAGCTTTTATCTTTCCTAAGATTAGATTTGTTTTCAATGTGCTTCTTTTAAAACTTGAAAACAAGAAAGGCTAGGTTTGTAGACCAAAGAAGTGACTTCTACTAGACAAACGATACACAAAGAAAATGCCTAAACCTTTGGGCTCAAAAGCCCAGGATAGATATAGTACCTCTCCCTACAGCTAATGGAAAATATGATAATTCTACTGACTATTATTTTCACTTACCTCTGCTGTTAGGTGTCTTGCTTAATTGTGTACGTTATTTAATTTCAGAACCTCATGACTATTGTTCTTTCTATGCTGCTCAAAAATCTTTGTATCTAATTACTTTTATGAAACATCATTAACATGCTTGTATATGCACCTGTGTATTTGAATGCATACGCATATACACACATATATGTACAAGCATTAAGATCCCAAGCAGCATGACAAAGGAACTCCCTTTTCCCCTCATTGTATTCATACAGAATCAGGCATATCTTACTCTGTATAATTCTAAATGTAACATTCCAACTCTTGGTAATTAGTAAAGACTGTGCATGTAACACCTCAGAATCAGCAGTAGCCCTTAGTAAAGAAATGAAGTAAATATTTACAGTGAGCTTCACCGGTGGGGGATGATTTGTCTCAATAATTAGAGGGAATGAATCATATTCTTGAGATGCCTTATTTTCCCTAATGACAGAAGTATCTCAGATTAGTAGCTTTTAGACTACAAATGTTCAGTGAACATAATCAAGCTGAAGGGTTTATTTCACTCATTCATCCATTATAGCATTGGCACAGATTCTGGTGTATAACTTTTATAGATCTTCATCATACAAACATCCAGTCAGAAATTGCTATGGAAATTCTTTTCTTAGTGAAAATGAAGAGGAACAGGAAACCATTCAAATATTTTAGTGAAATTTGATGGAAAGGGAACAAAATGTTAACATAATTCTCATTGCTAATCTAGATTTACAATCTCTTCGTATTGTGTTGCTTGTATACATTTATAATCTATGTCTTTCTTACAGTGTCCCTAGGTTTGGGCAAATGTTTAATTTAAATTTAAAATCAAAATACTTTACTGCTGTTTCGAGAATCTCTGGGAAATAGACTCCTTTATATCAAATCTATGTCTTGTATCTGCGGCCCTGTGATTGCTTGTCCCTTTAAAATGTCACAGCCCTGGTTCACAGGGTACATATCTAGTGTAAAATTACATTGCTGTCATTCTTAATTCTTTGTTATGGTAGTTTATTTTTCAGTTTTCAGTTTTAGTTGTTTATTTCTTCAAATGAATTAATTTTTTGCATGTCATGTTTATTATGTTGCTGCACTGCTTATTGACACATAGGTAAATGTTTGTGAATATCACCTTTTGTATACTGAATGATACTTTGAAAAAGATTGTAATGAAAACAATTCTACCTCATGTAGTCTTTTCTACATTATTTTTCCCTTTGTCTTCATCGATGACAAACTTTGTGAAAAACGAATTGCTTCATAAGCAGTGAAGGCTGGCTTCCTTTTGTATTCTATGTTCTTTCCAGAGTACCACTGCAGTAAATCCAGCCCTTTCCCTTGTTCCCAAGTTCCTCCTGCTAGTACATCTCCTGTTCCTTTCTATGTCTCTTAGCCTCATTTCATAAAGCTGTTGTTTTTCTTCCATGTTCTCTCACCTACGTTTTTTGCCAGCACAGCTAGGAGCGAGATGCATTGTATGCTGTGTGTGGTCTGGAACTTGAGTGTATGCTGACTGTTGCTTCCTGGCCACAAACACAATGGATAAAAGCTGGGACAGGTCTGAAAGAAATTTATAAGAACTTCCTATCTCTACCCTACTGACAAATTTGGTTGAAATGGGCTATTGGATTCCAAAATTATCTGTGAGGGAGAATTGGCAGGCAGACAAACTGAGGTACAGATATTTAAGCAACATGACTGTATAACCTTCATTTCCTTAGGTAAGCATGGTAAGAATATACTTGAGGATTTTTAATGAGTGAAAGCTGGTTCAGAGAGGTCATCACAGTTTAAATAGGTTATAGATTTGATCTGATAATTCATGATTCTTAGCTATACATTTACTGCTCTAATATACTCTGGGACATGCTGTCTTTCTAAAGACATATGCAACTAATGACTTGTAAACATATGACGTTCCAAACATGTTTTCCAAGTGTTCTAACCCTTGTGTTTTAAACAAATTCGAACTTGAAAAGTTAGTAAAATTGAAGGTCCACCTCACAGGGATTCTAGTCCCTGACAGTGGTCAGCAGGTGTTGACACAAAGTCTGGGACCTTCTTTGGGTCCGTCCCTATTCCTTTCTCATCTCATCAGCAGCAGATTTTCACTGGTTGCCATATACCTGAAGAAGCAGTAGGCACTGTAGGGGTGGTACAACCATTTTGCCCACTGTGTCCTCTCACTTCCACAGTTGCAGATCCTTTAATCCTCACCCCCATCTCTCTTTTTCACCAATACTTTGAATTTTTCTGGCTGCCTACTGTTGGGGAAGGTTTTTAATCTTTACTATATGTTGAGAATGCTTCTCCTTCTCTCTTTTTGGTTCTGCGTGTGCTTCTTAGGCACTTTTAAGAAACTGCATTTGTGGAGGTCCAGTTGTTTTTGCTCTCCATATGGACCACAGCTGCTAGCTCAAGGCAGAATGTTTTTTAACTCTTCCTTGAGATATCAACAGCTCTTTAAATGATCACTGATAATTGAATAACACTGATAATATTTGAACTGCATGCTCTTAATATTTTTTAATATTGTGGCCTTTCATGATGTTCAGAATAGAATGGAATAGACAAACTGTCATTTTAGATTACGATGGGAACAAACAGCTCTCACAAATTCTATAATTCATATATACATATAAACATGTATCGGAAAATTTGCCCCCGTTTCTAAAATAGAAGAGAATTGGGTACAAGGAGTCTTTTTCCTAAGACCTTTGAAATACCAGAAACAACATTGCTTTCTAAGATTAGCTTAAGGTAATTGTTGATTTTGCCTCTCAAGGTACGTATCACAGCAATGAGGGTGGAGATAGATCGCTCTTAGGCCACATCCTCAATGCTTTAGTTCTGCTGTTTCCCAATGAATAGATTTCAAGTTTTATTGCCTGAGTTTTGCATGGAATTTATCTTAGCTATTTGGATGCTTTCTTTTCAAAGCCATAACATTGTGCAAACTGTGCACTGAGAGAATTATTAAATTATCTGCCAAAAGGAGTAGATTCATGAGTTCTAGAGGCAGAATTTTCAAAAATGTCAGCTTATGGCATTTGCTTCTACAAAATATGAGAATGACCATCTTGAGAACATCTGAGAGAACAATCTCAACATTCTGAAAATGTTTCCATTTTGAGAACAAAATGTGAAGCTTATACAGTTTTTCTTAAAGCAGTAATGAAATCATTCTGCAGATAAATATATTTTAAGAGGATCAGGTCAGCTAAAGTATACTATAGAACATCTTATTCATTCTGAGAAAGGTACTTTTTATGTATTTATGCATTTGCTCAAAGTAAGCTTTTATGTTAATGTTGGATGTAATGGCCAACATAAAAGGTTCAAGACCTCAGCAGTATCTTCTGGAGACATTTTGCCTGAAAGAGCATTCTGAATTCTATTTCCTGGCTCAGTTTTCTGTTTCACAAAATGATATTGGATAATTGTGCACTTCATTGGTTGCAGATTCTGACAAACCTCTGGTAGTCAAAAGGAACTTGGAGTTAAAACTGGCCATTTCCTACATAGGTCCTGGTTAGCCTTCAAGTGATGTGAGAGGAGATTTTAGTCGTCCTTGTTCCCCTTTTATGGCTGTTTTTTTTCCAAGTCAAGATCTAGTCCTAAATTAACCAAAAATGTGGAAGAAAAAAGGAAAATAAAATTAATAATGTAGGAAATAAAAATATTTTATATTTAGTTGTTTCTTTTTAAATTATAGCTATAAGAGCACTGAAGCAATTTAAAGGCAAGAGTAATTCTTCTAGCAAGAGAGAAGTTGGTGACCGAGGGAAAGACGACCAAGTTTTGGAACATCAGAGAACAAAGAGGAATCTCCAATTTTCAAAAATATGGCTAACAAAATACTCCTGGTTAAAATATGATGATGAAAGGGGGATAATGTTCTGTGCATTGTGTCATAAGCATAATGTAGATTTGGGGGAAAACGTACATAATTTTTATTCTGGCACAGATGACTTCAAGCTTGAGTGTATAAATATACACCAGAGTAGTGAAGCTCATGCTTGGGCTACCTGCATGGAAGCTGCCAGCACTGCTTCACCAGATATAGCTTCTGCTGAGCAGATGTTGAAGGGTATGAATGCCATAACGTTAGGAAGAGTAGAAAACATTTTTAGAACATGCCATGCTATCGCTAAATCTGGACATCCCTTTACAGACCTCGACTGGATGTGCAAACTAGATGATATGAAAGGAGTGGATATTGGTTCTGTATTTAGAAATGACAGGTCAGCAAGAATGTTTATACACTTTATTGCTGAAGTAGAAAGAAGGACTTTAAAAGAGAAATTGGAGAAATGTAAATTCTTCTCTCTCATTAGTGATGGAGTCACAGACAGTATACTCAAAGCAGCTGCAGTTGTGTATGTACGTTTTGCAAATGAAGGAAAAGTCCATTGCCAGATTGTTGGGGTTCAACCTGTTCGCAAAACTGACGCTTCAAGCATAAAAAATGCAATTGAGGAAACATTACAAATAAATCTTCAGGTCAATCTGGCAAGCCAAGACTGGTCAAGAAAATTAGTTGGGTTTGGAAGTGATGGGACAGATGTCATGGTAGGAGAAAACAATGGCGTAGCTAAACTTCTGAGGGGAATTCAGCCTTGTGTACAATCTGTACATTGTTTTGCTCACCGCCTTAAACTGGCTTACAAAGGAGCGCTGAAAAATATTCAGCTATATAATATCTTAAGCAATGTCTTGAAAAATATGTATTATTTTTATCATAACTCACCTCTACATAAGAACAATCTCAAAGCCACATATGAAGCCATTAAGTTACGCCCAGCTATTCCTTCTCGCGTTGGAGGCTCCCAATGGCTTCCTCGTCTACAAACAGCTCTCCAAATTCTCCTTAAAGGTTATCCTGCAATTGTTCTACATCTGACAAAGGTAACTGATTTAAAAATTGGATGTACCACTAGAAAAAATTAATTGCTATGGCTAACTTTGGTCCACACACTGGGCACATTCTTTTTTCTCATTATTTCCAGATTGAAAGAGATTCAAGAGCCTCAACTCAGCAAAAAGTCAAAGGCCTTTTACAGCTTCTTCTGAAAATGGAGATAGTCAAGTTCTCCCACTTCTTGTTGGATGTCATTAACGTCCTCAACATTCTGTTACGTGTTGCTCTGGATCCCAGTTCTTCCATTGCAGATATATTTGCAACCGTGCAGTCAATGCTGGAAACACTCCACATGTATCAAACAAGGTCTGTCATTTCTAACAACTAACTCAA